GTTCATCGTTGTCAGAGCACGTGCCTCCAGGCCCGTTCATCGTTGTCAGAGGACGTATCTCCAGGCCCGTTCATCCCTGTCAAAGCACATGTCTCCAGGCCCGTTCGGCGGGATCAGCTACAGGCTCTGCGCCGCCAGCTAGTGCAGGTTAGAGGTGCCGTCTTGACGTCCGCAGGCTCGCAAACCACGGGTAACATGGGGACAAAGTGCTGTCTCTTTCGTCCGCTACCACTGAAGACTGCAGACTCTGCAGCGGGTTCTGCAGCCGGTCCTCAAGGTGTGAAAGGGCACTCAGAGCCATGGGGTTTCTGCGCCGCTGGCGGCCGGCACCGGCGGCTCGGCACCGGTCACGTGCGCCGCCGCCTACAGAGGAGCACGACCGGGCCGCCCCTCGAGCCGCGGGCGTCGGGGCGGACCCGGACACGGGCAGACATCCGGCGCCTCGCCTCCCGCATGGCATCAGAAGGGGCAGCGGGAACAGGGCGCTCGGGGGAGGGGTGGGGAGATGGATATTGGTGGGCGTCTGAGGAACTGGATATCTTGGAGGTGTGAGCGCGTTTGATTCTGAATTACGCTCGGACGAGCGTCCTCCTCACCAGAGTCTTGATCCCCGCCACGCTTGATCCATGCATATGTAGCAGTGCACGGCTTAGAGTCATGTCGTTTCTCCGCCGTTTTTCAGTGTTTCTTTTGACAGGTATAGGTAAGTCCTAAAGCGGCCTATAGGTAAAGGGAGACGGATATAATATAGGTAAGAGGGTCACATGGTAAGCCATACTTTTCCAACCGGATAGTGGCTCATATGCGCAACGCGAGTGTCTTTTATGCCTAAGTACGCCATGTGTTGTTTGCATCTTGATGACATGGATCTAGACCACCCAAAAGTTTTGCTAACTCCCCACGCCTATTTTTTTCAAAACGAACAGTCATCATACAATCAAGCAGCTATTTTCTCCATGAACAGTGGAGATTAAAAGAAACCTTCCCTTGTTTAATAGTACTTCCAGCTCCCCATGCCGCCGAACGCTGCACCAAAAGAATACGGCGACGCAATGCAGATAAGTATATGTAGAGCACTAGCCTCATTAAGTGCGCGTATACCTTCGCCGAAGCCAAGGTAGCTTAAGTTATAGCTAAAGACGGAGCTGTTTTAGATATTTGAGCGATGCTTTCTGCTGAATAAAATACGCAGACACGCAAACTGCGATGCATGAAATCCCATGCTCCCATCGGCTGTGCCTGTGGGACTTCTTGCTTCGCCGAGCCTTCCACTGCCTTGATAGGAAGATCACCTTTTGAGGCATCGCCCTTTGGAGCTTCCGTGCGCGGGGACCGCCATCTGGCACCTCCGCCAGCCGGCGGGACGCTGTCACGGGGCGTGGCGGACCCCACCGTCGGGTCGGAGGCATGTACCCGAGTTCAAAGTCAAGGCCACGCCCGTCGCCCAGCACAGCGCGTCGCTATCTGATCGCGTTTTGCACTGCGGAGCAATAAGCGGAGATCAAGTGGGTGATGTTTGGTGGTCGCCTGGCTCCTAAAGTGTTTATGATTGTAGGGCCTTAGCAGTGGAAACAACAGACACGCCAAAGGCGTCCGTGGAGGACAATGGCCCCGCTGACATGCCTCCTGTGTTCTTGTGCTTCTCGTGCCAGCGTCCAAGGCCACCTGCTCTGTTGTCAGATGCGTGAGCCACGCATCGCCGCGTGGCTCGACTCGCATAGCGAGCTCCCGCCGGCTGCGGAGGGCCGTCGGGGTCGGCCCGGCCCGCGTCGACTCCACTTCACCGCGCGGAGCCCCGTCGGGACGACCCGTCGGCGGTGGCGTAATCGATTCGTCATTGGGCAGGTACCCGGGCAGGACAGCACGTTTCCACGCCGCCGGCCGCGCTGCCCGTGCAGTGAATGATGACGCGTCGGTGACGGCCGAAGGAGCACGCAGCCGGATGCGGCGCTGCTCGGAGCATGACGTCATCCCGCCACCAATCAGCGCCGTCGAGCGGCCGCTCCCCGAACGGCACCTACGCAGTACGCAGGCCTCTCGTGCGCGTCCTGAGGACCGCCGGTCCTGGGATAGCCTATCCAGGGACAGCCAGCCCAGGGACAGCCCGGTCCAGTGACAGCCGGCCCAGGGATAGCCAGCCCGGGAACAGCCAACCCAGTGACAGCCGGCCCAGGTATGGCCGCCGGCTGGAGCAAGGCAGTGGATGGGTGGAGCGCACAAGGGCGGCCAGCATGGCTGACCTCTAGTCATTTCTCCTTTAAATACCTGGGGCTGGATAATCCAAACGCTGAAACCATCTCAGAAATCGTGTCGAAAGAAGGCATCCCTAGGAAAGATACTGCCACTGTCTCGAAGTGAGACATTCCGTGCCCGCCTCCTCCAGCAGCGGACCGGTGGAAATACCTGACATCAGCGGCCAGTGGAGCGTGTTTCCCGCTACCGTCAGCGGCAGACCGCAAAAAATCGAGGTTTGGCTCGCCCGTGATCAGTCAGCCCATTGCCCGCTTTGCTCTATTACGCACAGACAAGGTCGCTGGATTCAACCACGTGGTGAACAGAGATCACATAAATCGCCCTCACGTTTTGGAAGCGGTGTACGACCGTGCGGCGCCTGCGGGCTTACGCTCATTGGTGCGGTGTTCGGAACTCGCTGGTGGAGGAAACGTCTTCAAGGACATGCCTTCATCCGCTTTCATCTTATCGATTTATAATGTTACAAATGTCAGAGGCAAGATACATACATTTATATATATATATATATATATATATATATATATATATATATATATATGTGTGTGTGTGTGTGTGTGTGTGTGTGTGTGTGCTTGATTAAAAATGACAGCTGACCCAGCATTGACGAGCTTTTTGACGCATCGCTCTAGTTTCCGGCATTTGACTTGGCATTATCGTTTAGATTAAAAATGTTCCGCGCAAAATTACTCATCTATTCTTCGCTCTTTACATTCCAACGTCTTGTGATCCTATTTCATCGTCGGAGAAGACTGAATGACACAAGATGTTAGTTTTAAGTTTTAAAGGACAAAAATTGTGCACTACTATTGGAAAACATATTTTGGTACAGAGAACACAACTGAAGCATGGCTAATTGAAGTGAGATAAAATCCTATTTTCACGTTGATTAAAAATACATAATGGGAATATATATATATATATATATATATATATATATATATATATATATATATATGTGTGTGTTCCAATTATGTATTTCCCCAATATTCCTAATGTATATATGCATATGCTCAATATATATATATATATATATATACATATATATATATATATTTATAATAACATGTATTCATAATGGGAACACTACAAAGACACAATAGGGATACTTTTGTCACAATCACACCAATGGTGCTCACCACCCATCACCTAGTAGTGCAATGGTTGTACAAGAATTTGTTTGTGTGTTTAGGGCTGAAGAGAGTTCGTTAATAAATATACTTCCGCAACTTTAAAGACGTCTGCTGTCATTGCACGTCCGTAAAATGGCAGTGCTGTCTGTCAGTTGTTGTGTCAACGTCCTGTCGTGTTCGTGTCGTATGTGGTCCAGTATGTGGTGCCCCGTTACGCAAGTGCAGTGTCAGGCGTCGTGAGAGTGTCGTTGTGGCTACACCAATGTAGTGTATGAAACGAAGTTTGCAGCCTTCGATGTTGTATTTGAAGTGATACACTACATTGGTACAATTTAGTCTGTCGGGTTTGCCTGGGCTGTTTTTCATATTAGGTGGTGGGCGATGAGCACTACTGATGCGATTGTGGCAATACTGTTCCCATTGTGTCTTTGTAGTGCCCCAATTATGAGTGCATTTTATGTACATAACAGCGAAAGTAGGATTTTGTCTTAGTTCAATGAGCCATGCTTTACTTGTGCTTTCTGTAACAAAAGATGTTCTCCAATAGAAGCGCACAATTTCTTATTCTTTTAAACTCAAAACTTATTTCTTGTGTCATTCAGTCTTCTCCGACGGTGAGACAGGATCTCGAAACGTCAGAAGGTAAAGAGCAAACATTATATGAGCAATTTGCGCGAGCTATCTTTAATCTAAGCGATAATGCCAAGTCAAAAGCCCGGAAACTGGAACGGTACGTCAAAATGCTCCTCAATGCTGTGTCAGCAGTCATTTTTAATCAACCATCTCTTCCCCCCTCTCTCTCTCTCTCCCTTTCTCTTCCCTCTTACGTCCATACTTATTTGTTTGTCCATGGATGCATCTATGCATATACATCCGTTTTGTAAACCTGAATTATGCGAATGTATATATATATATATATATATATATATATATATATATATATATATATGTGTGTGTGTGTGTGTGTGTGTGTGTGTGCATGTATGTATGTGCACATCACATGCATTCGTATATGGTTGTGCCAACAATTGGGATTCTAGTCGTTTTGATACGCTGCGGTGCGGCGGTCGGACTCCTTATGGTTATCGTCATTTGTACCACCGGACAAGCGAGTCCTTAAATAAGCCTCAATCCAAAGAACAGGAAACCTGAGGGAACACGGGACTGTTGTCATAAAACTCCTCCAGTCCCGCTGCGCGGCACTTCAGCTTTGTCCAATTTCATGACGCTTGTTCCCGTCGGCAGTTTCAAAGTTGCTGCTTGTGTCGCATATACATCCACGTGCGCGAAAATATCAGCAGCCAGAAAGCTCACTTAGCTTAAAATATGTTTCTAGTGAGAAGCCCGATGAATGGTTCCTGATTCGAACAATACAATACATTTGTTCCTTCCTGTTTGCGTAGTTGTAACTGTTCTGGCTGCGTTCAGCCGCGTTGACGCTGAAGACAATCCGCATCCACCATCCAGAGTGTTTCAGTCATGGTCACGCAACTTTAGAAGCCGTCTTCCCTCATTCCATGTTCACTACCTCGTATATCTTCGCCAGGCATCCGCTTCCACGCCCACACCCGTTGCCTCCGTGTATCCGCGTCCTCTGCGGCTGCCGGCATCCTCCAGGCGGCACGCCCACTACCCGAAGCACCGCTGGTCGGCCGGGCCACCTCAGTCAAAGACCCGGACCCGTCCCGGCCGTCCGGGTGTGATGACCTCCGACCCCACCTGACCGCCGCGTCGGGACGCGCGCGCCGTCCACCGCCCCGGGCGGCGGCCGCGTTTGATCCGCCTGCTCGGCAACGGCGGTGGGCTGGTGAGCGGGCGATGGCGGCGTCGCGTGACTGCGATGACCGACCTCTGCCCTTGGCGAGAGACGAGGGGTTTCTGTTGTGACTCTCCGTCCCAACTGATCACAGATGGCGACGGCCGATTGACGGCCGGATGGGGAGATGGCGATCTCGGCACCAGGCCGCTGGGAGGATGTCCGATCGGCCCCGGCGATGGCGGCAATTCTGACCTTAGGACGCCGCTGTCGAACAATGCCCCACCTTTAGCATCCGGCGAGCTGGTCGTGAAGAAAGACACCCGGCCTGTAGCTATCCAGGTTTAGTGCTCCTAAAACTATCTCAGATGTCATCACGGCTCCCAACGAGCTGAAAGAATCTGAATGGTCTAGGGCTTTGCCACAACCGTCAAAAGACTGAACTGTTCTTGAAGACCAGTACGCTAACCCGCGGGGTCCACGTGACGGTCCGACTTTTACGTAATCCAACCCAGCACCTGTCAGTGACCGATGGTGTGACACCATCGGTCACTGGTGTGACGCCATCGGTGCTGCTCTTGCGCTCAAACGTCGATCGTAATTGGTGATTAAAGACGGGCTTAGCAGGACGATAAACTGACTCGTTCCCTGGTGCTCCACGTAACGCATCCTTTACTGAAAATGTGAGACAGTTTCGAGTTACGGGCTGGTCCAACTGCCCCGTGTGTATGTACATCCGTATTTGTTTCGCTCGGGCGCCGACATTAACCGCGCCCGACAGGGGCTTTGAGACGGCCACACCCGGCTGTGGGTGGGGTGCGGGTGGGGGATGGGGGGGGGGGGGTGAGTTGACTTATCCCTGGAATCTCCTACTTCCAGACGCCGTATAAGAAAATTTAAAGGCCTCGTCAACTTATGAGTAACGCACATTAAAGTTTTGAGCTCAGGTCAAATGTGAGGACACCAGAGGCCACCAATATTGATACTGAGGGCACGGACATAGGCTTTAAGACTGTGTGGAATACGCGGTTATACGCGTCGCGCCTGTTTATCTAGCCTCTCCGCTTCTGGCAACACAGGTCATTAATTTTGGATGGTCTTGCATGACTGCATGTCCTCACAAGACCTATTTGGACCTCATTATGCAATGGAATGATGTCACAACATGTTTTCATTGGAGTATTCTAATTCTGTGCTTTCTGCGTTGACCTAGCATTTTCTGAAAAATCTGGAAATGTACAAACTGTAGATAATACCATATCCTATTTTTACAGCAAGTTTGAACTATGGTGAATGGCCTATTGAGAAGTATGTGTGATCAATCATTAAGAGACTGGCATCTTTAACCTTACCTAGGTAACTAACATTGTTAGATCAAATCTTCAAGTTTGTACAAGGGACACCAAATTGATAAATGCACAGGTACTGAAACTTTCGTTTTGCTCCTATTGCTCATTTTCGACCTGTGCTCGAAAAACCGTATGGGAAGTCAACTTTCCCTTCGGCCGGGCGCGGGTTAAAACAACCAGAGAGGGCTTTACCGTGTATGGTTTAAGGTCTTCTTCACCCGTCGTTTGATGATCGGCGACGGCCAGCGGTGCGTGTGTGCGTGCGCGCGCGCGTGTGTGTGTGTGTGTGTGTGTGCGTGTGTGTGGGCGCGTATTCAAAATCCCAGTAACTTTCATCTCTCCGGCATGGGGAGGCACACAGCCCCAATATTGGACATCCTGCCCACCACCAAGCTCTCCCGAGGACGCGCAAACACCTATGAAGTGCCGGCCACTTGTTCTGTCCGTATGTATATACGGGTCAACGTACCCACATCCGGAAAGGCTATGCTATGTATTCTTAGGTTGGATCTATTTCCACCAGGACGTTCATTTTCAGGCGGTAGCGAGCATTATAAACGCGTTTGGGATCTCTTGGCGCCTAATTGCATGTTCGACATGCCCTTCATAATTGATGTTTATGCGGCGCGATTGGCTGACGACGTTCACGTGACAAGGCGCTACTTACCATGAAGAATGACGTGATTACATGGATGAGTAACACTAGCGCCGCTGTATAACATTAGCGACCGATCACCTAATGAGCCAACAGTGGTCATAGCCGGAGTTACGATTTTGATCTTGCCTGGCGCTCCAAAGCAGCGGCTTGAGTTGCTTTAGTGTCGCCGCGGGTGCCCCTGAGGCCAGTTGTTTGCATGTTGCCAACATCAGATGACTCGATGGCAGCGCGCCACGTCCGGCGGTGCCTAACCACCATTATCTTCCACGTCACCGCGGGCTATGCGATTACCCTCGCCTATGCTATGAGGAACCGGGCTGCAGGGACGCCGACCAAGCTCGTGCGGCGATGACCCCGCCGCCGGGGCAGCGGCCCGCCCGCCCGGCCCGGCCCGCAGTCGGGAGCCAGCCGCGGGCCGACGCCTGCGGGCCGGGCGCGCAACAGAAATAGCAGACCCGCGCCAGCGGCGCCGGACATGCCCGCGGGGCTCGATGGCCGCGGCTCGGATGGGCCGATCGCACGTCATGAGAGGCCCGGCCGCCGCGGCGGGTCAGCGCTCCGGTGATGGGTCCCCTCCGGAGTGCGTGTGTAGTGCGTGGCGCCGCGGCGCGCGCCGTCGCTGGGTGGTCCGCCATCGAGGGGTCATTCACGGTGTGTGGGCTTTGTTGCCAGAGCTAGGTGGGGAGAAGTGACGTTATTTGTATAGGGTTATCGTGTGGGGAAGTGAAGCGAGTAAGGATGAAAAATTTGTGCTATTTGGACAAACTAGTCCAAATGTGTCCGAATCCATAACACCGCCGTTTCTAAATTACACCGTCAAAGCTTCTAGGCCGAAAATTGCTGACCTAAACTTCATGTTGACTGAACAAGCTTTTGTCACTGACGAATAGGGCAAATCAGGAGAGCGAAGTAGTTTTCAGTCAATATGCTTAAATCGTGCGATTGAGCAGTGACGATGACGCGGCTTTGCTTCAGCAGACGGGCCACAGAACTACCTATCGACCATGGTGATCATAATCATGCCAAGTTTTGATCAAAGTCCACGTCGGTTGGCGCTCGGAGAGTCTGAAGAGACCTGCGTTCGTGGTTCCGGACTGTAGATATTCAGCATCAGGCCATGGTCGTTTGCAGGAATTCGCAATGCGGTGGGGACAAACTCAAACCTATTCGCCGAAAGCTCCGACCAGCGCGCCACAGCCGTGCAAAGTATGTTGCATGACGTTAAACAGCATGACACGTTCTCGATCAGATTGACTTTGCGCATCTACCGTGGATTTTGCTGTCATATAGTATTCATGCACATATAAATGCATGTAAAAAGTTCATAAGGGGGGAGGGGGGGGGGGGCACGAGAACCACGACCGCGACTACGCCGCCCCATAAAAGGCTGGGTGCTTCCGTGTTTTACATGCTAAACTGCTGCCCCAGCGCGAGGGGTGACGTGTGTGGCAAATTTGCATAGCACTGCGCCGCTTTGGAATCCCCGGACAATAAACGGGCGTTGAGGATGCAGGCACCTGCGGCATGCATCGCGTGCTGTGTGCTTGCATACTAAACGAGCTCGACGCCACCCGAGTTTATCGCTTCCGACACAGACCGAGCTTTTCGAATCAGTTACCGGGACAAACACTTCAGCCCGGCCCTACATCATTCCACCACCTCCCGCTGAGATCAGCCCGCGTCTACCTGCGGTCTGCGTCGGGTCCTTCGCCTCCCACGCGTGCGCCGCTAACCGCCGCCGCGCCAGACCGTGTCCGGGCGTGGGACAAGCCATCTGTTCGGAGCACCTGGCCGACGCATCTTCGCTGCACGCTGGCTGTCGAGCCGCCTGTTTACGCCGCTGCCGCCGACCTGGGGCGTAGGTCGGGCGGGCAGTTCCGGTCTGTGGCTTAACCCGCCGCCCCGCTGCAACGCTGGGAACGGCGCAGCGGCGGCGTGACCTTGACCTCGGGAGGCAAAGGGCAGGCTCGAGGGCGCTCACGACGGCGTGAAGTCATGTTTCACGGCGCCGTCGTATAAAACCAGGAGGATGCGCAGTTGGATCCCAGTCAGAAACATGCTGCGGATGGTGCTGGTGAGTACGCGAGACGTGGCGGACGCGTCTTTTGAGGGCAGGCTTTGGAAATCGCTAGGGCTGATGATAGGATGGCGGGACGGGAGTGACTTGCGGAGCTTACTGGTACTGCATCCGGGTTCTCTAATGGTGGTAGGATTATGCGTATTAGAGAGAGGCGTGAATGGGATGCCGGATGTCGAAAACGCTCGAAAAAAGAGTAAGTGCGCGTGCTTGTGTAGGCCATCATGGCATGCAGTAATGCGGTTGGCCGAAATGTAGGAGCATCCAGGAGCTTAAGGGCGTAAGCTTGCTGGACAATTAACACTTTTTATAAGTAGCAAAGAAATTCTTGTGTCGAATGACCTTTCTGGTCAAACTACCTGTGCCAATGGGCATGTTTTATGCGGTTTGTTTCTAACCCTCGTGTGATATTTGTCATCCAGAATTAATACGACGATAAGTTCTGAGTCGGCATTGCGACCAATACTCTCCCTGTGCGTGTTCACAAGGCATGCCATACAACGTCTCTTCCGAAAAGATTAACCCCAGCCAAGTCGGCTTAGCAGCTCTCAGATTGAGCACCGCGATAAACAACATACCTTCTGAGGCGCTGGATGGTGTTTTCACAACAGTGTAAATATTTCCCTTATCAGTTACGGGATCGCTGTCAGCGCCTGATCCCGGTCACGCCTCCCTCACGTGTAGCACACCTGGCTACCGTGACGCTTACCTGATCCAGGCGACGGACCGGCCCCGCGGACCACTGCGCGTGATCAGGGTTTTGATGGGGCGCGTCGTGTGCTGCGCAATAGCAGACCAAGACGCGCAGGACAACTTGGACGACCTCATGGTCATCCTTCAAACAGTGGGGGTGGCCAATGTGAGACAATGCTACGTCTGATTTTCGACTTGTGGTTGTGCTAAGGGGGTTTCGTTGCCGCTGTTTATGGGAGTCATCTTTATGTTCCATTGTGTGCATGCACCACGACCATGCTCCCTCATGCAGTTTGAGCGGGTGAGTTATAGTGGGCGCAGGTCTGCTTCCTATTCTTATCATCCAAGTCATTCAGAGCACTAAATTGACGCCGTCAATAGCAATATTATGTACGTCATCCATTGCATGTAGCAGGAAATATATCGTTTTCAACAGATTTAAATCAAACGGAGACAATTTACAGCACAGGTGGCGTCTAATGTACCTCAAACGAAGTTGCTAGCCTCATAAGAAAGAGCCATTGTTTGCTACTTTCACGATCGTCACTTGAAAATGTGTACCGGTTAACATATCGCTAATAGCTAACAAGTAGTCACATCTTTCGGAGACCTGACGCCAGGTACATAAGGATGCTGCATTCTCATTAAGACACACGCTAACATTGTAAGGCGTGATCACGAACAGCCGCCGGGTCGACCGTCCTGTATTTTGTACCGGGTATTTCTAGCTGCCTTTTTATTGATGCTGATCGGCATAATGCTTAGCTGTTACAGTAAGACATGGATCAAAATGATTGGTACGCGCTTGGTGTTTTTGATTCGTCTAATGGTTGTTGAGCTTACAGGATGGCTTCCGTTTCCAGGTATCATGCCTGGTGGCTGGTGGGCTCTGCTCCAAGCTGCCACTGGGTCCGGAGCACCGCTCCTCGGGTTACTCCCATGGTGGACACAGTGAGCACGCGGCAGCGCCGGCCGCCTTCCGCGGCAGTGGCTCCCAGCCGGCGGGCGCCTTCCGCGCCGCGTCGGGCGGCATTGGCGGCTCCCTCGGCTCTGGGTTCTCGGCGCAGGCGTCTTCGGGCGCCGCCGGGTTCCGCGGCGGCCAGGCTCAGTTCGACGACGGCGGCTACCGGCCGGACCAGCGGGAGGGCGCGTTCGACGACGGCGGCTACCGGCCGGACCAGCTGGAGGGTGCGTTCGACGACGGCCTGTACAAGCCGACGCTGTACACTGGCGACGACGGCCTCTACAAGGATGACCAGTACGCGCCCAACACGGACGCCTCGTACCAGTTCCAGTTCGACGCGGGCGACCACGGTCGCGAGGAGGCGGCCGACAGGGAAGGCGAGGTGGACGGCAACTTCTACGCCGTGCACCCGGACGGCGTGCGACGGGATGTGGAGTTCACCGCCGGCCGCGAGGGGTTCGTGGTGACGCGAGACGAGTCGGTGCAGGGCCCCGTGCCAGAGTACGCGCTGCGCCAGGCGGCCAAGCCGCGCAAGGTGTACCCGCCGGCGGAGATCCGGACCTCGCTGTCCGACGACGGCATCTACCACTGGGAGTACGACGCCGGCGACTCGTCCCGCTCCGAGGACATCGACACAAAGACCAACTACTACGAGGGCGACTTCCAGTTCGTGGCTGATGATGACCAGAACCGCTACCAGGTCACGTACAAGGCGGGTGCCGGCATCGGTTTCGTGCCCGAGGGCGACCACTTGCCCATGCAGGTGCAGGAGACACCCGAGGTGGCTGAAGCCAAAGCCGCCTTCCTGGAGAAGTACGCCGAGATCGAAGCGGAGGCGAAGCAGTCGCTGGGCGCCGGGTACCAGCAGGCGAATCAGCGTCAGGCTGCCGCCTTCAACGGCCAGAGGGCGCCTCAGAGCTCGGGAGCCTTTAGCGGTGATAACGGCAACGGGTTTGTGGGCAGCAGACCTCGGCTGAACACGGGGACTGCGAACGGGGGTGCCTCGCCCTTTAGACAGTCGGCAGCGGGGTCACCGGGTTCCGGATACAACAGGCCATCCTCTTTCGGTAGCGGTGGCAACAAACCCCAGCTGAACACGGGGGCCGCGAACGGGGGTGCCTCACCCTTCAGACAGTCGGCAGCGGGGTCACCGGCTTCTGGAAACGGCCGGCCTTCCTCTTTCGGTGGCGATGGTGCCAGACCCCAGCTGAACGCGGGAAGGCCGAACGGGGGTGCCTCATCCTTCAGACAGTCGGCAGCGGGGTCACCGGCTTCTGGAAACGGCCGGCCTTCCTCTTTCGGTAGCGGTGGTGCCAGACCCCAGCTGAACGCGGGAAGGCCGAACGGGGGTGCCTCATCCTTCAGACAGTCGGCAGCGGGGTCACCGGCCTCCGGAAACGGCCGGCCTTCCTCTTTCGGTAGCGGTGGTGCCAGACCCCAGCTGAACGCGGGAAGGCCGAACGGGGGTGCCTCATCCTTCAGACAGTCGGCAGCAGGGTCACCGGCCTCCGGATACAACAAGCCATCCTCTTTCGGTAACGGTGGTGCCAGGCCCCAGCTGGACACAGGGACTGCGAACGGAGGTGCCTCAGCCTTCAGACAGTCGGCAGCGGGGTCACCGGCTTCCGGATACAGCAAGCCGTCCTCTTTTGGTAGCGGTAGCAACAAACCCCAGCTGAACGCGGGAAGGCCGAACGGGGGTGCCTCGCCCTTCAGGCAGTCGGCAGCGGGGTCACCGGCTTCCGGATTCAACAAGCCGTCCTCTTTCGGTAGCAGCAGACCATCCTCTTTCGGAAACAGCAAGCCATCCTCTGCCAGCAACACCAGGCAGTCTGCGTTCAGCAACGGCGGCAAGCCGTCTTCCTTTGGCGCCCAGCCCTTCCCCGCTGGGTCCAGCAACCAGTACTCCAGCGTCAACGCGCCGCAGCCGGCTGGTGGTGCGGCCAGCCGCCCCAGCGGCGCAGGCCTCCACAGTGACCCGAGCGTGCACCCAAGCCAGATGGTGTCGGGGCTGGCGCTGGGCGGTCACATGAAGAAGAGCGCGGCGTCCGCACCGCAGCCCGAGCCGATCGGCTACTCCTACCTGCCGCCCAGCCGGACGTAGCGTCCGTCAGCGGCGGCGACACGGCTGTGAGCGGCCTGCCAGGGCTTCGACAGCGGCGGTCTGCCAGGGGTTCGGTAGCTGCGGCCTGCCAGGGCTTCGGTAGCTGCGGCCCGCCAGGGCTTCGGCAGCGATGGTCTGCCAGGGCTTCGGCAGCGGCAGCCTGCCAGGGCTTCGGCAGCGGCGGCCTGCCAGTGCTTCGGCAGTGGTGGTCTGCCAGGGCTTCGGCAGCGGCGGCCTGCCAGGGCTTCGGCAGCGACAGCCTGCCGAGGCCGGGCCGAAGACGCCGCTGGAAACCGGGCTGGCTCCCAGCGGCGTTCGGCGCCAGCGCTCGGCGGCGCCTCAGTGGAGACTGAGCCGTGCTTCCAGTGGCATTCAGTGGCGGCTGGGACTTGCTTCCAGCGGTGTCTCGGCGGGGTTTTCGGTCGTACTTTCAGCACCGCCTAGGCGTTGGCTGAAGATGGGTTCTTTTGTCACCAGAGCGCTTGCAGTGGCGTCGTTGTTTTGGTTCTGTCGGTGATGACTTTGTCCCTGGTATCGTTCAAAAATAAACGGGCGCGAGATGTTCTGCTCCCTCTAGAAAACCTCCATATTCACATTGTCTACGGAAAGCGGTTGCTGTCGTTGGGATCTTCATTTACGTAGAAGCCATCAGACATAAAATGGCCCACCACGCTGCCTACGCAGCAGCATTTTAGTCCCGGAACACAGCACAGAGATCTCAGTTAGCGGCATGTGTTGTTTCCGAACAGCGCAGCGAGATGACAGGGGTGGCTGAGATATGGGTCATACGGTATTTTTTGAAAGAACGTAACCAAACACTGCATGAAACCATGTTTTCCAAGCCAACTTAAAGTGATTTACATTCATCGCTGACCTGGAACGTTGCCACGTGCGGATGAGGCGTCACAGCCTGGACAGAGGGCTAAGCGGTGCTGCTTGCAGCGTTATCTTTACCAAATGCTTCGATCTATTAGTTCGCTTTTAATATCTTACGCCCAGTATTGATCCAAAAAAGCTTGCAAATACTCCTTTGGACTCACTATATTAGCGTCATTCATAATGCAAACACCATGGCATTTCTGGTGCATTGTATGGTAGGTATTGCGGATCCGACATGTTGTCGGCTCCAAGATATCCTTTCTTACCGGAGAAGAGTGTGGCAGTCAGCGCAAACGTAAAGAAACACATGATGCAATTACATAATCCCCTAACAATCTTTGGGGGCGTACTTCCCTGTGGGATGTACGACCAATGTGACCACAGATAACATCACATGACGTAAAAAGACGTGTTTTAGTCCTATATCATCGCTGCCCTGTCATATAAAGAGTGACAAAGAGCCCCGTAAATACCACCGATTCTGTCAGCTTGCACCTGCTGTTACGATGGCATACTTGTGCCACGGCCTTGGATGGATCCGCATAATTATACCAGACAATGGCCGCGACGAGACGCCAAGCATCAATTACGAACTGGGTGGAAACTGACTGGAACTACCATCCGCCGGATGCAGAAGCTAACAGCCCGCGCGAAGGATTCAAAAATACGCCGTCCGCGTTTGTTGGGGGGGGGGGGGGGCGAAGCAACAGCATATTCTTGTAGACTCGGCTGATTTCTTTCCCATATACGGAAGCAGAGGGTGCGACGCATTGCCACGGTAAGTTACAGAGCATGCTCACCACTGGGTCCCTGCCACGCCGGCGAATAGGGATACACCATGAAGGTGATTCGAGTGGAGGTAATCTCGCATCAGCTCTAGAGGTGGCCGCTGGTGTCCGTTGGCTGCCGGGGCGTCGCGCGGCGCCTTCAGATGTCGCTGCCGTCGCGTGCCTTACCGCCATCTGGCGCCTAGGCGGTCGCCTCGCCGGTCCGGTCTCGCCCCGCGCTGATGCCGCGTGGGCGGGCATCTGTGACGCCTGCGTACGCCTGCGTTTGGGGCTGGTTGTAAGCCCGACGCTGGCAGTCAGAGCTGATTTGAGTGTCGTAGAGCAGCGGGCACCAATCGCGTCGGACGGACGCAGTGCATCAGCACCATCCCACCCGGCCACGTAGCCGAACAACATGAGACGTGGTGTTGACACGGGAAAACACAACAGCCTTTTCGACTTGGGTTGAAAGCAACGGTAATGAAACTCTTACCAACTTTGGAGGGAGGGCGGTGACCATTTCGTGTTGTTTCTTTCCAATCAGTTGCCTTAAGGTCAATGTTGAATTTTCAGAGAGTTTGCGGGGCCCTGCCTCGGGCTTTCCTAGCTCCCGTGACCCCGGTTTGAATAATCATTGAATAATGTGTCAGATGTGTAACGTCATCAGTCATGACTCATGACAGACAAGTAAGTCACATGATAAAGCATGTCGTTCCTTTCAGTAACGATGGCTACATGGAAACTTGACTCAGCGCATCACTGCACATGGTTGACGACACGTAACTCACATTCATTTTCATGCACGCCGCCTCCATCACTCGCCACCCCCTCCAAGTCCTTGCGGCGCTCCATCTCACCATGACAAGCTGCGGCCGTCAGCCATGAGACGGCTTGTGCCCGGATCCCAAGGTTGGGTCCAGGATCCCATAGAGTTATGTGGTAGTAGGATCTCACGATCCGTTCCTGGGATCTTTCTCCGTTTTTAGGTATAGTCACGATATAGTACTGAGCATAATGAAAAATCATCACGTTTCACACGCCCATCAAGGCCTGCCCGGAATGCATAATGACTCATTAAGCAGTTGTATCTCATGTATTATTAACGCGACGAACCATCTTCCCTCGTACAAATTGGAATGATCGTGCACGATTCGGTGCACTAAAGACATTTGTAAATTGCTGTGAAATGCATGGACTCTCAAATGGCTGCTCAGTACGGTATTCAGGCATGCACCAGAATATGTGCGTTGCTAGGATGGAAATAGTCACGCCTGAAAGCTGATGCCTCTTGCGGACAGGTACCCGTGAACACCGAATAAAGGTGCGCGGTATGAATACATATATTTTGACACTGGTACTCAGCATATGTGTGATTGCCTAAATGATAATTTCGTTCACATGACATATGCTGCAAAGAATGGGTACTCCAGGCGTTTCTTGACATTTTGTCTGGGAGAGCACTCTGCCGCGCGGGGGGCAGCAGGTCGGGGGTGATACTGTACGGGGGCCTACACGTTCATGTGAGGCGCCAGGCGGCGCACCGGCTGTACAGTTTGTGGGCACACGAACTTCAGTCATGACTACACGCGCAGTGCGGGGGCGATTAAGAACAGGAGAAGGGGACCTCGCCGACCATCGGCGGCAAGCCGTCGACGGCGGGGTCCACGCACGGGTCGAGTCACATAACAGCCGGAAAGCAATGCCACTAGATGAAATATAAGGGCGCCGTGCCATCCGCGGTCTATTGGTAGGTGTATCCGAACTTGCCGGGGGAGCTGGCGCCGTCCGCCTGCATCACCGTGACGCCGTCGAAGCTGTAGGTCTGGGTGGCGCCGTGGTGGGCCGCCTTGGCGCCGCTGTAGTACGCCTTTCCTCTGGCGCTGCCTCTGACGCTGCTGGCCGGAGCCGTGATGATGCCGGTGTCGGGGGCAGCGGCGGCGGCGGCGGCGGCGGTGGCGTACGTCCGCTCGAAGGCCAGCTTGGCGGCCTTGACCTCAGGAGTGTCCTCCACACGGCCCTCGGCGTCCAGGGTGACCACGGGGCCGGCGGGCACGACGGACACGGCCGGGGCCAGGTAGGTGGACTTGATGGCGGGTGCGCCGTACGTCAGGCCCGCCCGGACGCCGCCGCGGGAGGCCGGCGCCGCGCCGGTGATGATGTTCACGTCCGGGGCAGCCTCGGCGGCGGCGGCAGCGCTGCGGAAGGCCTGGTCGAAGGCCTGCTTGGCGGCCTTCACCTCAGGCGTATCCTGCACGCGGCCGGCGGCGTCCAGGGTCACCACGGGGGCGAAGTGGCGGGCCGGGGCGCGCGGGGCCAGGTAGGCCGTCTTCACTGCCGGCGCCCTGCGGCTGGAGCCGGCGCGGAAGCCGCGCTGGCCGGCGGCGACGGGACCGGAGATGATGTCGGTGTCGGGGGCGGCCTCGGCAGCGGCGGCGGCCACGCTGTACGCCTGCTGGAACTGGCGCTTGGCCGCGGCTACCTCGGGTGTGTCGGCCACCGCTTTCGGGAGGGTGGTCAGCTCCTGGAGGGTGGCGAAGCGTACTTTGGCGGCCGGACGGGCTGAGTAACTCGTGCGGTAAGCCTGGGTTCTGAGCACGGGCCTGGCAGCCGCAACGGTGGCCGACGCTGGGGCGCTGTAGGCGGGAGGCGCGGCGTAGACCGCGCTGTTGTCCGGGGCGGCGGCGGCGGCAGCAGCAGCAGACTCGAACGCGCTCTTGAAGGACGCCTTGGCGGCGGCCACGTCGGCGGTGTCCTTCACGGACACGGGCAGGTGGGCTCCCGAGGCGATGAAGCCAGGTCTCGGCGCCCGCTCTATAATCCACGCGCCGGCGCTGGGCAGTCGTCAGCGACGAACTCAAAGTTGCCCTGAACGTTGTTGGCGCTATCGGCCGATTCGTGTCGGGAGCTGTCGCTGGTCTCGTACGAGAACTGGTAAGACCCGTCCTCGCCCTGAGAGGAGCGCACGTGGGCGATCTCCACTGGCCTGGAGCTCTGGCCGTAGGTGACGGCCGGCTGCACAGGCCGGCGGGTCTGCACCCGGGTGACGGCCGGCTGGACAAGGCGGCGGGTGTTCCCCCGGGTGACGGCCGGCGCGATGTACAGGCCGGACGGCTGCTTGGCCGAAGCTGTGATGATGTTGGTGTCGGGGGCGGCCTCTGCGGCGGCGGCGGCGGCGTTGTAGGCCGCCTGGAACTGCCTCTTGGCGGCGGCTACCTCGGGAGTGTCCGCCACCGGCTTGGGAGGGGTGGTGAGCTCCTCCAGCGTGGCAAACCGGACGGGTGCAGCGTTCTTGTGAGCTGCCTGGTAGGCTCGCGTGGGTACGCCCCGTGAAGTCGGCTTCTTGTGCGAGGTCACCACGAAGCCGCCGACGCCCGCGGTGTACTCAGTCTTGCCGCCATCGGCACCGAACTCGCCACGCACCTCGTTGGTCGGGCCGCCCTCCTGCACCTGGAAGAGGCCCTCCGCGCTGTCGAAGCCGTACTTGTAGGCGCCGTCGCTCTGCTGCGTGTAGAACTGGGCACGCCGTCCCTGATTGACGGGCGGCAGCTTCCAGCTCTGGCAGCCAGCGACCAAGAGCGCCAGTACAACCTGCGAACAACAGCAGCTGGTCAGTACAATGCGCCGGACCTCACCCGTTTAGCACAAAGCAGCATGAGCACGGCACGAGCGGGCGAGCCCGGGCGATCGCGCCGACGGCTGCCGCCTTAAAAGCCTACACCTCTCTCCCGGGCGGCGGACGGCGGCGGGCGCCGATGAGCGTGCGGAGCGACTCACCCGACGTGCGAAAGCCATGCTGACTAGCGTGTGTGGTGTCGTGTGCCGAGGGCCGTGCGCTTTTATAGCGGACTGCGAGCGCTCTCCCCCGCCGTTGCCGTTAGCAGCATGCTTGCCTTCAAGGCCGGCAAATGGAGCAGCCGACCCGGCGGGAAAGGGGTGACCGCAGCCGGCGGGGGCGCGGCGCGTGAGTAGGCGGGTCACACGGCCACGCCACCCCTCTGCCTGACGGTCGGCAATCGGATGACATCGCGCCGGAGCACGCCGCTTTCAAGCTATCTGCGGCGGCTATCGTGCGCCACATTTGGCGCTGACGGGTGTTTATCGCAGCGGTGTCACCCGTCGGCACCTGGAAAGAGCCGGGCTCGGAGAGTTGCAAGGACGGAGGCAGAGGATTCGTCAAATTTGCCTGAGGTTAGCTTGTTTTAAACCTGCAGTGGAGTCATACGGCTCACTGTCAATTACATTTCGGCCCGTTAATGGTTACAAACAAATTTGTTGGCGAAAAGCATGGCAACCCGGCCGGACGTGGTCAGGCTATCCGAATCAGCATTATTCCATGCGCTTTAAGTAAGGCACACTCAACCTATTGTCTCATTCGTTATTGTGCTTGCTCCGTGACGACAATCATGATCTAGGTGTGCTGAAGGGCTGGGAAAATTGGTAGCGTTTCACTTTGCCACAGCTCAGGCCATGTTTAAGTCAGATGCCTTTCAAAGCCCGGAACGAGGAATACGGCTGCAAAAGTCATAACCATTACCACGCAAATAATGCCAAAATATCCGAGAATGGAGCCTGGCACACCTGCGAAGCTTGATATGCAAAGGGAGTTATCAATGCATTGCAATATCGTCCCATCGTGAGGGTAGCGGTGCATGTCTGAAGATCGTTCGTCATTGTTTAATGTGTTACGAGAAAGCGCTTTTAACAGATCATTTGTTTGTGGACGGCGACCGCAAGCCGTGGTTATTTGGGGTTAGTAGGTCAAGTGACAACTCTAACAGCAAATCAGCCAGATTGTATGGCTTCATTCAACCTGTCAATGGGTTCATGGCTCAATGAATGCGACATTGTTGCCTTCAAACATTGACTCGGTCAGGTAATTTCCACATTACGACAATTGTGACCCAGACATTATCACCTTTTTCCGAGAGTGAAACAATCTCACTCTCTTCCGTAGTCTGTCATACAGCTCACTGAATTAGGCGCAGTAGGCATATATTTCAACATTTTCAAACACATACACGAGCCCAATAATGCCAAAACGTTTCTCACGTAGCCCCTTGCACTAACTCATAGCATGTTGAAATTGCTGTTGAACGTGCAGTTATGGAACCCCAAGTCAGCGACAGCGCGGTGGGCGCTACGCTTCGGCGTCGGCCGCGTCTGGCGTGGCGCTCGCGTTGGACAGGCGTGGCCAGCTGGCTGCGCCGAGAAGAACACACTTTCAGCAATGGTGCGCGCCGTTTTACGCTGCATGGTGTCGAATGCTTCAGGGCGGTTGGCGAGGCTCCTGAGTGACTTGTGACCAGTAAACTGGGCGGCATAACTCTTAGGACAATGACCGCCAAGAGGGCGCCTGATGGCCGACTCACGGATGACGTGATTTACATTTGTAATGTCTTCAGCCTGGACGATTTATGTTTCTCAACTGAGCACATACGGGAATGCGCTCACAGCGGAGAACTTTTGCATCGCATGCCATTTTTCACGAAGTTTTAGTTGACTGTCTGGTAGGGCATCGGACAGATCTCGGAATTCATGGCCTTTGGAAACGTATCACTTGAGTGCATCTGCAAGGCATTTTGTCCTATCTTTAAATGGAAAACATTTAGGATCAAGCTCTCTCAGAGTTTGATCGCGGCGGCCTCGGCCGCAAGCGGAAGAAGGGTGAACTCGAACGGATGACCCGGTGCTCTGCGCGTGGCCGGCCCGTCTGTCCCGTTCAGTGTACCGAGGGTGTGCCTTCCGTGCATTGCGCAAGAGGTTGAGATGAGTGAGTGAGACGCTTGGTGATATAGCCCAATGCACTGTGCGTGTGCGCGTGTGTCAAGGCTGTGTATGGATATAGCAAAGAGGCTAACAGGTTCAGGCTAAGACGCTGAGTGGGAAATCTGGCGACTGGTGTATTGTAGCTCATATCAGCTCCGTCGTACTCTCACGGAGAGGCCAGATAACAAGTGTGACACATTCAACAACCTTTATATCGTGGTTCGAAGCTGATGACACAAAATTTCATGCGTCAGCGGGCCTGTTGTCAGTTTGCTACAGCTACATTATCAAACGTCGAAGGGACTATATATATAATATGTACAACAGCTTTGCAATCTTGAGCACTTGTAGATGTGCAGCACGCTATTTCTGACCACAGAAAAGCATTGCACTTGTCACCTAAACTCGGTCAGCGTTTCAACTTCTTTCATTCCGATGGTTGATAACTTTGACCTAAGTTGACGCCAACTTACCTCTAGGTACCAGCCTAAATGGTACTTTGTGCCCGGGATTCTTTTGTTCCAAAGGTGCACCTAGTAAATCAAACAGTCAAGGGCACACTCAGGCTGGTTTTATCATATCACAAGTACACGTATAATTTGACTGCATCTATCAAAACGATTGCTTTGTACTTTTCGTGACCTCTGGTGAACTCAAAAATTGATTACCCAAGATCAAAATGTGGCGTACCCTTATCTTAACTCGACGAGACACTCACAACGGTATGTTTTTTCTTTTCGCACCACATCTGGAATTTGGAAATTCTAGGGGGTAATCAACTCCCTGGCCCGGCCTGGCGCAGGTGATGAAGGTGTGTGTTTTGAGAAGCACAAAGTAAAATGTACGTTTGGAAAAGCGCTACATAACATGTATGCCGTGCGCGTGCAAAACAGTTACGGTACTGTATTCCCAATTACATGTTAACAATTCATGTGCAGTATTCACGTATCTGGAAGCCAGTGTGTCACGTCTTTATTCGTATAATGTTCTTCGTGGTGACTATCCATACCGAAAATGAGCAAGTTTTTCGAGCGCTCAAATTCATTGCTTGACAGTGGTTTTGTCAAATCACAGCCCCGAGGCAACCCAGCCCCTTTAGCCCGTCTCCGACACTTTATGGTAACATTTTGCATCATGAGATTGCGGTTTATTACCACCATGCATGTCTAAGACATCATATATTCCAACTTCGCGATTTGATTTGTTGTAGTCTTTTACATTTGCGGCACACATTTGGGGAATAAGAGAGCTTGGTTTGCATTGCCTTGGCTTTAACTTAATCACAAAATGTCGCACACCACTAGAATAACGAACCTGAAAAGTAAGTACTCAGACAATTGAATAGCCCCTGATTGCTTAAGGGTTTCTTCTTCCAGCAAATGATAAAAGCAAATGCTCTGGAACATTCTGGGACAAATCTATAAAGAAGAATATCTACAGTATCCTCTGGCAAGACTGTTTTATGGATCCAGGCTCCTACACATGCCTTCAAGAAAATTTCGGAATGGTTCCTGGGTTCCGTCAGATACAATATTAAGAGTCAGATATCGAATTTAAGGGTGCGCCTCTGAGAGCTAGGCACATGCCTTTTCTGGGTACAAAGTTAAAGCTCAAGTAGACTGGACACGTTAAGTCAAATATGTGTCAAGCATGCGTCAGGTACTGCAGGCAAGTATCTCAGGCATATTCAAGTCAGGTATATGTCCGGTAGTATGTTCAGACACCACCCGAAACCCACCTGGCATACAGTGTTCAGATTGGCTCTTTACCCCGGGCCGCCTTCATTCCTGAGAATCTACATCATCGGCGTTTATCCCGTTCGGTTCCATAAGCAAATTTCCATGCTCGGACTGAGGCTTGGAATACAGGAGCTAGGGCCCGCACTCGGGCTTGTACTCGCGTGCAATGATCCGGATCAGACTGAGACTCGAATTGCAGTGTTGGTTCACGCGCAATGAAGCTTCTTGGACTCCGACTCCGAATGAAGGTCCTATGACTCGAGACTCTGACCCGTGAATCGGTGGCAGGTCATACCAAAGACAGGAGTTTCTTGAACCTGGTTATCCCGCTCTCGCCGGGCGGGGAGGTAAACGCCAGGAAGACTTGCCCGGCAACGAGTAAAAAAATTACCTGCAGCGCCGCGTTCAAAAATTTGGCATCAAATACTTTGAATACCTGTGCTTGACTCTTGGCGCAGTTGTAGTCTTCTTGAGAATTACCTAGATTATCTTCAGTGAAGGTGGGATTGGTGAAGCTCCTTGATTTTGTGGTTGCTGAGGTTGATCTCTTCACTAAATGCTTGTTTAAACTGATCTGATGCTTGTTGTACCAACGAGTTCCTCCGAGTATTAACACGCGCCCGGGTGGCCGGTTCGATACCCTTCGCTCGGGTGTGGGGTCAATTTGACTCCCTGAGATCTTAAGAACTAAGAAAGCTAGAGCCTTAAATTTTACAGGGTGTATTTGCCTGTATCTGAACTCACACAGATCAGAGTTTGAGGTTGCTTGGTTATGACCTTTGGGTCAAATAAGATCAAACAAGGTCAAATTGCAGGTTGGTCTCCAGTGTGCCCCCAGAACCTAGATACTTGTTCTAATCAAAAGGTCACATGCTCATCTAGGTTAAGTGAGCTTGTTTGAACTTTTGAACGTCATGGACCTCAAAAGCATACAAGACCGCTTTGAGTTTTGCATTTGGATAAACGACAAAGATCATGCTAGGCAGTATGCTCCCAAAAACGAAATGTTGACCGAGATCATTCCAGGTCAGTGGCCTATTCTGATCTTTACGAAATCCATGAAAGGTGTATAACGCGGTTCCCGTTATAAATAAATTCGAAATGAGCATCAGGAACTACCCCATATGGCAAGCGCTGGGGTAATGAAACAGGCTGGTTTTGACATTGACCTGACCTTCATACCTGACCTAAGGCCAATAAAATTGGTTTATTCAATTGTTGTGTTGCTTAAGAAAGTATCTTAGAGATGTATGATTTCGTCTAACACTCCGCTGTTCGATCCGGTTGAACGATTTCCTAGAAATTCGCTGAAGCCATGGCCTGACTTTGACCTGCCATAGGTCAGTGACTTTACAAGATACGTATAAATTTGTGAGGCCAGACGATCCGCTATTAAATTGCCTACGATTATGCAAAATGTGGCGCGACCACGTTGCGACGTTCGGAAACCGTTCCGGAAAAACCTTCGGGGGGTCAATTTGACCCCCACCCGAGCGCGTGTTAACGCGAGTCAGGGACGAAGTTGAATTCACGAGTGCATGAACGTCATAGCAAGCAAGAGGCCAGTGTCAAGTTTGAAGTCAGTCTTGCGTCGCAGCTCCAAAGGGTTTATTTCAAACAGTCTCGAAAATTATAAAGGGCGGGGGTCATAGCGCCATGCCCCGCCCATGTTTTTACGTCCTTGGTTTAGTCAATCGAACTGGTCACAATCATTGATGTTCCTGAGAACACAGGAAAAGTGATACTATTTTTCCCATAGTTCTGGCCCGTTTTGCCAGTGTAACGCTATATATGGCGAGTGCCCTTGAAAATGTTCTCATCTCTGCTTGAATATTCTTTTAAAAAATCCTTTGAGGTGAAGGCGTGATATTTTGCATATTGAATAAAAAAACAACAGAGAGCGTGCGTATTGACTCAGCCTAATCAGCCAATGTTCTGCGCTATCAGCTAAAAAATATTGGTGTACGAAATCAGTTGTCTCATCAGTATTTTATTGGAACACCTGAGCAATAGGATCGCCGCCAGTCTGGGTCATAACTTGCAGGCTCTGCTTCCATAGGCAGACACTGCTCTGTATGGTATCTCGTGATACTTCTTCCAATGCCTCTGTCAGCCCGCCCAGACTGGAGAACTTCTGGTGACAAGATCAGTACACTTCTTTTGACAGCGTGTGCCAGAGGCAACAGTCCAAGGATCAGGGATGTGTGGGTCATTCGTCCTCTTTGCTCATGCGGGAGCATCCAGCGAAAAACTCTCTGAGTAGCCAGGCTTGTGTGAGTGGGCAACGTCCCGCTGAAAAATGGGTGCTCGGACAAAAAGCCGAATGGAAAAGACTGTGCCAAGAAGGTCGAACGCCAGAAAGTCAACAGACGTATATGGCTGGGATAGGTTTCGAATCTAACTGTTGACTAGAATGAAATTCGAATCTGGAAAAGTGGAAGAACAAAGGTTAAATGAGATAGCGGTCGGCAGGGATAAAAGTCGAATACAAAAGTTGAAGGAAAAAGTTGAACCTGTTTTAATTCGGCAGAAATCAATGTCAAAATAAAAAAGACAAAAAAACCCAGAGTCCAAAAGGACAAAGCCGACAGAAAGTTCACGAATCAGTTGGGAATGGTTTGATGACACGCTCGTTATTATAAACATAGGTCGGAAGTGCCGAGTACTGACAATATAATCGATGCTTGCTTTATAACGGTGCTTAAGCGCACTTCCGGGTACATGGAATGCCGATAACTTAAGACAGGGACTATAATCTCAATGCCAAACACAGGGGTGCAGTTTCTTATTCAGTTGGTAGGGAGGCGGAGTACTCCAGTCCCTTTTATTTCTAGCTCAGTTGAGCTAAAGCTATGGCTGCGACTTGAAAGCAAACGGCGAGCTGATAACCTACAAAGTTCTTTAACTTAGGTATGGTCTTTTAGACCAAACAGAGACCTATAACTCAACTTAACCTTAACGTTCGGCCATACAAAGTAGCTAAATCACCGTACGGCAGCAAACGCGTTTTTTTTTAGTGAAATAAACATAATATTGACCTCGTAATTATATAGCATGAACCCTGACAATTGTCCAAATATTTTGTACATGCTGGAATCTCATCAGGTAAGTGTCAGTATGGAGTAGAACAGTAATCACGTTCCGTTCGATTAAATCTGGATCCGTCCGGTTCAGTTCGGTAATGTCCGCTCCGGGTCCCTCCCAGTACGGTTCGATTACGTCCAGTCCATTTGGTCCAGCCCAGTTAAATCCTGCTTCGTCCGGTTCCGTTCGGTCCCGTCTAGATCGGTCTGGCTCCATCCAGTCCTGTTTGGTCACGTCCTGCCCCGTTTAATTATGTCATACTTCGTCCCGTTCCGTATGATCTTGCCCTTTTTCCTCCACTTCCGTTGGGATTCGTCTGGTGCCATATAGCGACGCCCAGTGACGTCCGATTCATCCTGATCGCGTCTGGGCACACGGGGTTCCGTCTAGTGCCATATAGCGACGCCCAGTGACGTCTGATTCAGCCTGATCGCGACTGGGCACACGGGGTTCCGTTTGGTGCCGCCTAGCGACGCCCAGTGACGTCCGATTCAGCCTGATTGCGACTGGGCACGGGGGTTTCCGTTTGGTGCCGTCCAGTTCTAAATCGCTTTGGTCAGCAGTGTTTTACTCATCCGAGGTGGCCTTTTTCCCTGTCAATGTCCGTTTATTCAACACATTCCGTTCCGAATTTTATCCCTGTCGACGGCTAGCCGCGCCGATGTTTTTTGTATTTTGTCCTATTCGGTTGTTATCCCTGCCGACTCCTGCTCCTTTCAGCGTTTTGTTCTTCTTTCGTCCGATTCCTTAGTTTATCAGAGGTTTATCCCCTTTGACACTACAACTCGGCTCCGGAAATCAAGTCAGCCAGGTGGAGCTCCCTGCTAGCTGACAACCACTTTTGTTCCAGAAGGCCGATGTACGCAGCTGACATGACCTTGTAGTTTTCCAGGTATAAAAATGCGGTTTTCTATTTCAGGTGACACCAGGACTAAGCAGATTTTTTTCAAAAACCTTGATTTTTCGTGGCGCGAATGACTTGCCGGAACCTGGTGCTTCTTACCGCTCCGAAATGCACGGTTGTGCTGAGCTTTCGCGGCACGTAAACGTGGGATCCTTCTCATCGGCAAAACTTGGAAATTAATACGGCCTTCCCCACTGACAATCCTCCGGTATAACGTCCTGGCTAGGGTTTCCGCTTCTAACGCACTGCGCCAGACATCGGTGGAATTTAAAGCCGCTTCACCACTTTCATCTTCTTCAGCTTGAGGTGACTCGGAACGATCAAATTGAAACTTCCTGACTTGAAGATCTTGCGTTGGCTTAGGTGGATTCCAGACCGGTCTTCTTGAGAGCAGACGAGGCCTGGGGGAGACTGGGGCTAGTTGTCAAATGGGGTAGTTGTGACCATGCTTATATTTCCACTATTACAATGAAATAAATATGCGAAGCATAGCGCATGCCGAAAATTTTGTTTCCACCATTACATCACATAAACGGTGTCTATGCGTGCGAAGTGGGTGGAGCAGGAATGCTGGCATTCCATTTAAACGTATGATCTCATGAATTTAGAACATTTGATCTCGTGCCTCTGCGGTTTTTTTGCTGCTTTTGTTATGAACTTGTTTATTTTGTGTGTTTACTTAGCAGAGTGAACGGAGTTTTTATCAACTCGGGTGCATGATTCGCATTTTGCAAGAGTAGGAAGCACACGGCCAAAAATGTCGTTCGGGTGCGTTGTCACGACTTGTGACGGGACTTGCGTCAAAGTGAAAGTGACAAGGCGTCTAGCCCCACGGAAGCTTATATAGCACAGCTGCTGGCGTTGAGCCCGCAGTTCCCAGAAGGCGACAGACGAAAAGGCCCAGCGGGTTTGTAGGCTTTGGCAGACAGTCAGTTGAGCTCTGTGGATATCCCTTTGACCCGGAGATCTTCCCAGAGGCTTTTTTCAGCCGGCGCACCGGGCGGATCCGCCTGGTCCAGCCCACTCACAGCACGTGTCTCAAGAGAGGTCATCACGCGTCCCGGGTCGACTGTGAGCGGTTCGTCATCTTGTTCCAAAGCAGGCCGGATTCGAAGGCGGGGTTGTGGGGCGCCGAATGGTGGCTTTAGGTCAGTCCCAATCGTCAGCCTTGACAACACTCGACAGCTCCCAAGTGCCGCACCGCCAAAGCCGGTCAGCTGGAGTCGAATAACGGGTGCGTGTGCAATACCGACGGCACTTTAAGGAGCTCTGGAAGAGTGTGACGCCGTCAAGCACTCCAAAGAAACGCAAGGACTCGAGACCGACGGAAAAAATACCGACAAATGACGTAAATGGATGCAAGTTCGGAAAATACAGAAAATCCCCGGGCATTTCACCCACTCTCTGCCTATAACATGCCCCCCCCCCCCCACGCCTCTCGATAACTGATCTGCAGTGCTTCAAGAAAGATGCAGCTCTAGTTTTTAAGTTCGGGTTGGTTACGTGCTTCCATCATAATGCCGATCTCGGGTAATTAGTGCACAGCCGTTTTGTCTCAGTTCGCAGCACCACATGGTGTTTGCCTAATGATTTTTCCGCTACGAGTCGTTTCGATCAACGTGACTGTCTGCGCCACTTTGCCAGTCGATCAGTCATTCATCTCCGGTATGTTCATACCTAATTCCCATCATTCAATAAATGCCACAGAGCGTTATGTGATGCAATCTTTTATTGCCATATTGCATGAACTCTGCATGTATCTATACACGGAATGGGGATGATTTATGAGACAATACCGGACATTAACGCAGATTACGGGACCTGTGGATCGGGATCCATTTCACGCGGGTCGCAGGGGTCAATGCCAATAATGCTGCTGCACGAACACTACACCTGTATGGGATAAGACGTCCAGGAAGTGATGGGATCGTCCTGTTCTACGCGGTGCACTTGTCGAGTACAGACATGATCACACACACTTCAAAGCGACGACATCACTCGTCCGGGAACAGTTGGAACAAGGGACAGACGGGACGGACAGGACACGGCACGATGCAGAGCCACCAGGGACGAGCACGGGGCAGTCGACAGCACAGCCACGAATAATGCCATACAGCGCCATCCGATCAGCTCGGCGGCATATTATTCGTAAGTGTATCCGAACTTGGCGGGGGAGCTGGCGCCGTCCGCCTGCATCACCGTGATGCCGTCAAAGCTGTAGGTCAGGGTGTCGCCGTGGTGGGCCGCCTTGGTCTGGTGGGTGGCACCGCTCGAAGTGGTGTAGACTTTGACGGGGGCAACCGGGGCCGTGATGATGTCAGTGTCGGGGGCAGCGGCAGCGGCGGCAGCGGCGGCATCATAGGCGGCCTGGAACGCCTGCTTGGCGGCCTTGACCTCGGCAGTGTCCTCCACACGGCCCTCGGCGTCCAGGGTGACCACGGGGCCGGCGGGCACGACGGACACAGCCGGGGCCAGGTAGGTGGTGCGAAGGGCGGGAGCGCTGTAGCTGTAGCCGGCAGGGGCGGCGGCCTTCACCACGGGCGCGGGGCCAGTGATGATGTCGGTGTCGGGGGCAGCCTCGGCAGCGGCAGCGGCGGCGTCATAAGCGGCCTCGAAGGCCTTCTTAGCGGCAGCAACTTCGGGAGTGTCTGCCACCGGCTTGGGAGGGGTGCTGAGCTCCTCCAGCGTGGCGTAGCGGACCGCAGTCACGGGCTGGGGGGCGATAACGGCGGCCGGGGCCGGGGCGCTGTAAACGGGAGGCGCGAAATACACCGCGTTGTCCGGGGCAGCGGCAGCAGCGGCAGCGGCAGACTCGAACGCGCTCTTGAAGGACGCCTTGGCGGCGGCCACGTCGGCGGTGTCCTTCACGGACACGGGCAGGTGGGCTCCTGTGGCGATGAAGCCGGTCTCGGCGCCCGCCTTGTAATCCACGCGCCGGCGCTGGGCGTCGTCAGCGACGAACTCGAAGTTGCCCTGAACGTTGTTGGCGCTGTCGGCCGACTCGTGGCGGGCGCTGTCGCTGGTGCTGTACGAGAACTCGTACGATCCGTCGGTGCTGGAGGTCGAGCGGAAGTCGGCTATCTCGGCCGGCTGCGAGGCGGTGTAGGTGGTGGTGACAACGGCCTGAGGGGCAGGAGCCAAGTACGTCTGCGACACGGGAACGACCACCGGGGCCGAGTACGTGATGGGATCATCGGCGGCGGCCTCGGCGGCGGCGGCGGCAGACTCGAACGCGCTCTTGAAGGACGCCTTGGCGGCGACCACCTCGGCGGTGTCCTTCACAGGCACGGGCAGGTGGGCTCCTGTGGCGATGAAGCCAGTGTCGGCGCCCGCCTTGTAATCCACGCGCCGGCGCTGGGCGTCGTCAGCAACGAACTCGAAGTTGCCCTGGACGTTGTTGGCGCTATCGGCCGACTCGTGGCGGGCGCTGTCGCTGGTCTCGTACGAGAACTGGTACGACCCGTCCTCGCTCTGAGAGGCGCGCACGTGGGCGACCTCCACGGGCTTGGAGCTCTGGACGTAGGTGGCGGCCGGCTGGACAGGCTGGGAGGTCTGCACCCGGGTGACGGCCGGCGCGATGTACAGGCCGGACGGCTGCTCGACCGAGGCCGTGATGATGTTGGTGTCGGGGGCGGCATCGGCGGCGGCGGCGGCGGCGTCATAGGCGGCCTGGAACGCCTGCTTGGCGGCCTTGACCTCGGCGGTGTCCTCCACACGGCCCTCGGCGTCCAGGGTGACCACGGGGCCGGCGGGCACGACGGACACAGCCGGGGCCAGGTAGGTGGTGCGAAGGGCAGGAGCGCTGTAGCTGTAGCCGTCAGGGGCGGCGGCCTTCACCACGGGCGCGGGGCCAGTGATGATGTCGGTGTCGGGGGCAGCCTCGGCGGCGGCGGCGGCAGCGTCATAAGCGATCTTGAAGGCCTGCTTGGCGGCAGCAACCTCGGCGGTGTCTGCCACCGGCTTGGGAGCGGTGTTAAGCTCCTCCAGCGTGGCGAACCGGACAGCGGCAGCGTTGGTGTGCGCCTGAGTGTACGTCCTGGTGGCAGCGCCACCCGTCGGCTTCTTGTGCGAGGTCACCACGAAGCCGCCGACGCCCGCGGTGTACTCGGTCTTGCCGCCATCGGCGCCGAACTCGCCGCGCACCTCGTTGGCCGGGCTGCCCTCCTGCACCTGGAAGAGGCCCTCCGCGCTGTCGAAGCCGTACTTGTAGGCGCCGTCGCTCTGCTGCGTGTAGAACTGGGCACGCCGTCCCTGATTGACGAGCGGCAGCTTCCAGCTCTGACAGCCAGCGACCAAGAGCGCCAGTACAACCTGAGAACAAACGACATTGTCTTCATTCTCAGAAATAGAGCTTAGAATCACGGGTCACCCGACGCAGCTTTTTGTGCATCCTAGGATAAGGCATGAACACTGGTATTAGCGAACACATGCTTCCCCTACAGACAGAAAATGTTATGCTGCTAAGCTGAAAACGGGACAGAGTTCTGGCTTCAACGCATGCGCTTATACAATGCCTTCGAAGATTAACGTTTAAACACACCACTACGCCTCCTTGTCGTGTGCACTCGAGGAAGCTTTCAAAAACACTGCACAGCAATTGTACCTTTGCTGGCAGGCAAACCAATCAGCTCTTAAGCTATCCGTAATAACTTGGTAAATACAACAAAATCCATAACTGCCCATGGAGGCTTGATACACTGTGATGACCAGTCAGCTCGGTTTATTTATGCTAGCATCAGTGCAAACGGCAGAAAGGGGTCACGCGGAATACAACCAATAGCATGACACCATGCAGAGTACACTAAAAAGTTTCGTACTTATCATCAAGGAAGTCCTGCCTAGTTTAACGCATAACCTACGGATTGACACGACAAACAAAATAGTGATAACCTACCATTCAAAATTAATCAATTATGGTCCGGAAATGTACTTAATGTTTTCACAGGGTACGAAATTAAAGAGAGCTGAAACGCAGCCAGCAGGCAGAGTTCACTGGGACCGTCTTCCGACGGTATCAGTAACCCGGCGAGCTGTTGGCTGCCCGGCAGCACAGTATCGCCGCCCGTCGTCACTCACCAGACGTGCGGACGCCATCGTGTGACTAGTGTGTGATGCCGAGGTGCGCCCGGCGCCGTTTATATAGCGCGCGGCCCGGCGCCGTGCCCCGCGGCTCGTTGTCGTCGAGTGTTTCCCTCTGTCAAGGACGGTAAGTGGAGCGGCCGACCGGCCTGTCCGGACGGTGAATCGCCTCACCGGCGCCGTATCATAATGTCCACACTTCGAGATGTCCACAGTTTGTAATGTCCAGTTCGAAATGTCCACAGCTCACAATGTCCACATGTCATCATGTTCACAGGTCATAATGTCTACAGGTCATAGCGTCCACAAAAGGTTTCACAAGTGTCCGCTAGCGTATGGTGTTTTGCCCTTATGCATAACAGAGCGGCACTTCGAACCGCGGCGCCACTTCCTGCCGCATGGTATACGGTTAAACACCGTTATTGTTACTTGGCTGCCATAAGCGGCTGCGTTTGCCGATCATCTGGTCGTTCGCGCCGTTCTCGCTCGCCTCAACGCGCGCGTCGTCTTGCGCGTGGGAACGGTCTGGCGTTGTACGAGACTGTACTTATCGATCCGTGGGAATGTTCTAGGATGTCGGAGTTGTTCGTTAGCGGAAAGCGGACAGGTCGCGACCTTTCGCGCGGCGGTTGGTTGTGGGAGGTAGTCTAGTACGCTGTTAAGCTGGCAGCGTGGTTGGGCGGGGAGGATGTGTTGCTGCTTGTCACGGTTACAGTTATTGTTAGTATTAGACCATTTCTTGTGCTGATCCTGACATAACGACATGGTGTGTCCATTGTGTCACAAAATGCAATTAGATATTCGGGAATATTCATCTTACCGTACGTTCTTATCACTAAAGATGGCATTATGAGACCAGGTCATCCAATTGTGTTTTCGATTTTGTTTAGCCACCCACAAAAGGTTTGGCGTGTAGCAACGAGTGGTGTGCACACTGTCACAAACGATGCTATTAACCCTCGCCTCCACTGGTCGAACTGAGCAGAAAGCAGCTTTGGATTGGTCATGGAAATAAGATCTCGGGGTTGGTATTAGTGTTAATGTTTGAAGGTCAGTATTTGGCACCAATATCCCAGGTCAAAGGAAAATATTCCAGAAAATCCCAATTTTTCAGATTTGCATTATACATGCTAGCCGATACTTCGTAGCGACACAAAACTTAAACTGATATGTTCCTCGTTCAATTCTTCGTACAATGTTGCATAAGTTTAGGTGTTTTAAGGATATTTCTATTTCATATGGTTCCGTCAGGTGACAATGTCGGCCCGCCACGCGCCCTACGCCGTATCGTCGGTTGCCGCCCGCCGCCCGCGCCAGCCGTAGATCGCCGTGCAGTGTTCCTCAAAAACCGCCGCTGCTCTGAAACCAGAAAGCTAGAAGTACGTTTTCGGCGTCGAAATACGTGCATTTGATTTCCCATAGGATACCGAAAATGTGGTCACAATTGCAGAACATGCCGGAGAGGCAACCTCCAAAACCAAAGAAGAGTCGAATTGATCCCAATTGATTTTTTTCAAGCTTTCGCAGCATTTATTACACAAACATTCACACAACAGTTTGCTGCAAACGTGAGAGGACGCACGTTGGAAAAGCAGGACAAACGCAATGTATTACTTTCATACTGATAAGGTTGGAGCTAAATGAAATTTGTTCCGCAGATTCAGCTATTTCAAATAGAAATTCCGAGCTATTGAAAAGGATTGGGAAAATATTTACTGATTAGATAGTACACATCTGATGTAATGATAACTGAAAAATGCAAAAAGGTAGAATAATTTTATTAAAGGGAATGCTCCGTGTCCGAAGATACAAGCATCAGGTACGCTGAAACAAGCTCACGTATAAATATGTGCAGACTTGTGAGTGCAAATAACGTTCTAGACAACACAAGTCCTCCATCAAGTAAATAAACTTCCTAATACGTCATTGTTTGATTGCGTCATGTTACCTGACACAACATTAACAGCCAATTGACGGACGTCATATCTGGAAATCGTGCTCATGAACGCCAGATATGAACGACTCGACAATTACTTTTGTATGGGCCCTGATCGCCGCATGGCCGAAAGGAATGACAGAATTTGAATGACGTGATTATTGCGTCATGGGTGCCTGGGTGACCTTGAAATAGCTTGCACGAAACAGGCTATACATCGTCGCGGGCGTAGGCCTCGGAAGCTAGAGGTGTTTTATGTCTTAAGATGAGCAGAGCTGAGAACAGCACCGGATGATCTTCAAGATGGCTTTTTCAGTTCCAAATCCATAAAGCGTTGAACACTCCCTTAAACGTTACACTCCCACACTCCATTAAACCTTAAACTCCCTTAAACACGAAATTGTGAGTTGTTGTGAAAAACATGAAGCCCGCAAAGCAAAATAATCATGATGAGCTGGAAACATCGTTTATCAGCCATTATTTCGTCTTAAAAACGCACGTGCCTACACATGCTCGCACGGACTACGTTCCCGGCTGGATCCCGGCCGGAAGACGTGCTAGACGCACGCTAGCCTCTAGCCTCTAAATCTGCTGTCATTCCTTGTTTGTATACCTGCCGTTGGCCGTGTCTAAGGACATGCGACCGGTGCAGATATGTATACATCGTAAGTGTATTAGTTGACCGAAGGATGCTTCACTTATTTAGGTAGGCCTATGATTTGGGTCTATAGAACTTGTCCATTCCGGGTGTGTTGGCTCCCTCGGCGTTATTGCATGGCCTTGAGCAGTTGGTACTGGACCCCTAGCCAGTGCGACAGGACCAAGTAATACACGACATCGAAGAGTTCAAAACAAGAGAGGAGCAATCACATTCTTACAAGAGAAGAATAGCTCAACGCACAAGCCTTGACCCGCGTTGAACAGTTATCGCATATTTATGCATTGTGCAAGAAGCGAGTGAAAAAAAATAATCCCCGGAACGAGATGAAATGGTTTCCTGGTATGCACAGCAAATCAAATGCACTCTTTAAAGGAATGTTCCACGTTTGAAGATATCGAGGAAAGCATCAAATGTGATGGGAGAAGCTAATTTGTGACTATTGGTAAGCTTTCAAGGTTCAAAAACGACCCAAGTTACAGAATCTCCAAGTGTGCAAAAATGCGTCCCACTACGTCATCGTTTGATGGCGTCATGGAATCGTTTTGTGACGACAGCATCATTTGGCAGCATCTGACAGTCAGATCTAAAGCATACCTCAAAACACACGAAAGCTGACGCCAGCCGGCCATATACATTTTCGCCGCGAGTGCTGTGTCGGGCAGCGGATTGTTGGATGGCTTGTATGTGGACTTTTCGTCTTGGTACTGGTCTTAGGAAAAGCTTGGGTGGACTGTTTGGCATACGCAACGTAGCGATCGCCAGCTTTTGTGGCAAATTATCAATATCAAAGCACGATATGCTCTGAAAACTGGCATATAGTGTCATGAATCTCTCACCGAAACCTGCCAATGACTGTTAAGGATGTCAATACTGTACTGTGGACCTATGCTTGCCTGTAGTGCTGTAGTCATGACATTGTTATATTGTGATACGCACAAAAGCTACATTCTTTATTACTTTGAACTGGAAATGTGGTCACATGGAAAACTAACAATAAATCTGTAACATTGCTAAGAATTAATCGCTAAAGTATTGTTATTACTATGGCAAAGATGGTAAGGTTGAGTTACCAAGAATGTTTTTCTTGCTCCGGTTGATTTATGCAATCGCTAGTTACCCTAATAAAACCATTGTGGTGCAACAACATTCTCGTTGGTATTCACAACCCTGTGGCAGTTTTAGATCAATTGTTTCCAGTCGTTTATAGACTATAAACTGTTATCTCATCGGCTTGACAAAGACTAGTCAACCAATGGGTTAAATTGTGTAATGACACAGGTCAACAGTGTCATGGTGGCGCTACCTCAGTACTCCAGCATGGTATTATGAGCAATAATACGGTCTTTGTACTGCAATCCCTGCTGCTCTCATAATATTCTCCACCACAGAAGATGCGCCAAGCGTGCGTACTTGCATTAACTCTGCACCTGACATATGACGGGCCAAAAACACACGATACAACATACAAATCAATTTCAGAAAAGCACACTACCAATAAGTGAAATCAATTACTTGGCCTATTTTGGGAATCCGGGAAACGGAAGTGACAAAAACGTAAACACGTCTTCTGCTTTCACAGCCATGCAACATGATGCATGATGCATGATGTAGACCTTGCAAAAGGCTGGAGACATAACAAGTGCACACGGGTGTCAATTTGTATTCTTTTGTGAGGACCTGGTCCCCTCAATGCTGAGTTGGGCTCCCCCCCCCCCCATTGTTGGCTTGGCTCCCAATGTTTTTGGCTGGACTACTACAAAAAATAACGTAGGTACCAGATGAACATAACGCAGACTATCTTTTTCGATCATACCTAGTGCCATGTTTTGTGAAGTTAAAATGAAAAGCTCTGGAATATGGGACGGGGCTATTCCTTCGTGGCTAACCTCGTCCCGTCCCCCACAACCAAAATGCGCGCCGCCTCCCATGACCGCAATGGAAGAGCGCCATCAGCGCCCTAAAGTGGCCTATAAAGGGGCGCCTTCACGTGCCAACCAGAAGAGACGCGTGCGTGCATTGCCTGCTCCCTGGATCCAACCCTGCATGACTTCTGTAATGCTTATATTAAATTTTTAATGAATTATACGAATATTTAACACACACATGTATATATATATATATATATATATATATATATATATATATAGCGTTTAATCAAAGCAAAGTGGGCTAAATCCGGTGAGAAAAAGAAAATGGGGTGGGGGTAAGTTGTCGAGCCTTCGGTTCGGCTACCCCCAAAAATTTACAAAAAATTGACATTCCTGCAAGTGCATGCAGTTTTGCTTGAATGGACCAAATGCCAGGAAGTGAAGAAGCTGACAGTGCACACAAGGCTCATGATAAAATAGTGTTAATTACTATCCGAGAAACCAACAGCAATACTTTTCCACCTTTCCCAGCACCCAGCATCTCGCACAACCTGCAGTGACTGTGACATTGGTGTCTCACAAATAATGTTTGCCTGCATACAAAATTTGTTTTGACAGTAGTATGTACATCCATAATAATGCAGCACCAC